TGAAGGTTTGCCAGCTCGGACTGTAGGTGGTTACATGTGTAAACCAACCTGCTCACGAGCTTGGCCATGAACTCCTTATGATGCTCTTCCGGTGTTGGCTCGTCGCCGTTCGGTTCAAAGTGCCAGTGCTTGAGTTTCTCGATGCTGTTGGCTTCATGCCGCTGCAGCAGGGCCTGGGCTTCCTTGCAGCGAGCCTGGGCATCTGCGTCCGCTTCGGCCTGTAGCCGCAGCTTCTCTGCTGTTGCCGCTTCATCAGCCTGTAGCTGGGCAGCCTTGACTGCCAGCTGGCGTTGTTCCTCAGCCTCGATTGCAGTGAGCTGAGCATGGACGCGCTTTTTGTASTCGGCAATGGGCTCAWTGGCCAGTTGGCCTGGCAGGCCCGTCATGTTGCTGACGTGGCACTGCTGACGTGGCACTTTGTCTGACGTGGCACTGTCTGACGTGGCACTGCTGACGTGGCACTGCTGATGTGGCACTGCTTACGTGGCACTGTCTGACGTCACTGCTGACGTGGCACTAAGTCTGACGTGGCACTGTGACCTGGCACTGCTGATGTGGCACTGCTGATCTGGCACTGTGACATGGCACTGCTGACGTGGCACTGTGACCTGGCACTGCTGACGTGGCACTGTGACCTGGCACTGTGACGTGGCACTGCTGATCTGGCACTGTGACGTGGCGCTGCTGACGTGGCACTGTACCGAACCGGGATGCATGCAAGGGGTGGGTGGGAGGGAAAACGTAGGTAGGTTCGGTTTTCAAAAAAAAAATTGCGAGATAGAATGGAAATGCGATTTTCAGAAAAGAATAATTTCAGTTTCCGAGAATATGTCCACTTCTATCGCTATCCCAATATGCCTAGAGAACGAAAATACTAACTTCAGAAATTTCAGCTATGTATGTGAAATATCAGAGAAACGAATTGCTACTATCGGGAATTTTCAGACAAGACGAAATGCGATTTATCAGAAATTTTCAGATATTTGTCACGTAAAAAGTTGTTGCGAGAAAAAATTTTCAGAGATTTGACTAAGTCCTACTTGCGTTACTAACGAGTGATCAATAGATCGCAAGCTGGCTACTTAATTGAGCGGGTCCTCTGAATGAGAGGTCCGCTCCGATACCAAACTGTTGCATACTATAACGTGCAGACCAGAACAAGAACCGACCTTTCAATACAAAGTATAAGATAGCACAACGGAAGACTTAGATACCAGTGATCCGAACAATCAATGTTGTAATGCAGTCCTGAACATACATCATCATCATCGTTACATGGTGTGAAATGGGCCTGGCGCTTCACACAGGAAGACTGCGCCAGCCCATACCATACACAGACGAAGAGGAAGG